CAGAAACAGATAACACCAGAAATTCAGTTTGTAGGAGTCATACTGGGGACTATGAGATCATGTTCTACCTCCTGCCATAAACTGACTCGGCAGATTTGTGTGTTTCATTAAGAGGGGTGGGGAGGGGGAATGGCAAACAAACAAACAAACAAAAACAAAACAAATGCACATCTGCATTCTCTGGAACTGTCTTGCTTCTGTAATACAAACCTAAAGTCTTGGGGCTGGTAAGACAGCTCAGAGAGCAAAGTAACTTGCCTCCAAATCTGATGACCTGCGTTAGATCTCCAAGACCCACTTGGTAGAAGGAGTGAAGCAACTCGTGCAAGTTGTCCTCTGACCCCACACATGTGCTGTGGCTCATGTGCTTGAGCACATCCCCCCACCAACAAATTAATGCAGTAAAAAAACTTAAAAGTCTGTCTGCTGATTGATGTCTCTATTAAAGTGACTCCACCCCCTCCACCTGCCCGCAACCTCACCTAACACACACTGCAAGGAGATGTAAACCATCTGACCAGCTTTCTGTTGAAGTTAAATGCCCTGGCAACTCCTGGAGCCTACTCCCCCACCCACTCAGCATCCTCACCTTCGTAAGTCACAGGGCTTGCCCAAGTTATCCTTTGATAAATTATAGGCAGCATCTAACCAGCAGCAAGGCTCTAAAGTGGAATGAAAGAGAGATTCCAAAGTTTTCCATGAGTGAATACCAGTCACCCCTCCCCTCTGGTTTCTATTGTGAAACGCTCTGCATTCTTCTCAGTGAAAGTACTGGCTGGAGGGAACTCTTGTCACTCTGGTTCTTCTGATGCTGTGAGGGTCAGGTTGAAGCTCTTCCAGCTTTGGGCTAGGATTCACATGCCAACTGTGCATTTGCCGAATGAAATTTTTAGTCAAAATCACATGACCACAAGGCATATTCTGTCTCCTCCTCAGATAATCTCCACCCACCTCCATCTCAGCGTGCATGCTGCAAGAAAAACATTTAATATTACCGGTTTGGCAGAAAGAAGTGTAAATGTTGTGTCAGTGCTAAGACTCTACTTAATCCTGGTGGAGGAGTTGCTAGGGAAGTGTGACACAAATTGACAGATGTTAAATGGCACCTGCTGTCCCTGATGAAGCAGCGCAAACAAGCCATGTGGCTCCCAGCAGGTGGAAACTGCTCTGGCAAGTGCAAGGTGGGACTGACTGCCATTCCTTTCTCGTTGCCAGTTCAGGGCCCTGGGGATGGGAGTGGGCAAGGACTTTTGGCTTTTTGGGTTAGCGTGTCTTACTTAGGTTCTTCAGCTGTTAGTGAGTGGCTTCCTAGAGTAAGTGGGGTTTCCTCAGATATCAGAAGGCTTCGATGACATCAGGAAGAAGGCAAGAAAAGGTGGATGTCTGTTTTCCGTAAGAAGAAAGATCAAAGGGCACTGGACGTGGTTCTCCCTTGGCCTTGGCACCATCAAGGCTGAAGAGGCAAACCAGTTGTAAAAATAGACACTAGTGGCCGGGAGCTGGTGACGCACACCTTTAATCCCAGCACTCGGGAGGCAGAGGCAGGTGGATCTCTGTGAGTTCGAGACCAGCATGGTCTACAAGAGCTAATTCCAGGACAGCCTCCAAAGCCACAGAGAAACCCTGTCTTGAAAACCCAAACCAAAAAAAAAAAAAAAAAAAAAAAAAAAAAAAAGTGGACACTAGCACTAAAAATACAGACTCTAGAGCCCTGCTTCCCAGGGCTCACCCTACAATGAATGAGGACTACTAAGCCTTTGTCTATTTTCAGTAGATGCTGAGGTCCATTGCAGTTGGGTACACCATGAAAGTGCACCTGGGAGATGACTCCTAATGTTTGAGAGGAAGTGTTAATGTTAGGTATCTAACCATAAGAAATCGGCATTCATTCTGCCATGCACCAAAATGCATTTCTAGAGTATTTAAATTTTGACTGTAAGTATTGCTTTACTCTTTTTTTTTTTTCCTGTTGTTTCAGTGAAATACCTAAGGCTGGGCACTTCATAAAGGAAGGAGGTCAATTTCATCTCAGTGCTTTGGAAGCCCAAGGAGATGAAGCCAGCCTTAGCTTCTGAGAGGGGTTCATTGCATGGCAGGAACATGTGTGAGCTGGTCCATCGATAAATAGGAAGCAAGAGACAAGGGAGGGGTTAGGGTCGCTCCTTTTTGACAACAAATCCACTCCAGTGAGACCTGACTCTCTCCCACAGACAGAAATAACCCACACATGTGTAGCTCTTATGACCTAGTTACCTTCTCCTGGACCCAATCTCTCTCTCTCTCTCTCTCAAAAAAATTCTATCTGTCTGTCTCTCTCTCTCTCTCTCTCTCTCTCTCTGTGTGTGTGTGTGTGTGTGTGTGTGTGTTCAAATACGTGCATATGTGGAAGTCAGAAAACAACTTTCAAGAGTTGGTTCTCTCCATCATGTTGGTCCCAGGGATCCAACTCAGGTCATCAGCCATGGTGGCAGGCACCTTTACCTGCTCAACCATCTTGCTGCTCTGTACCCCACCTCTTAATGGATGGGTGTCTTCAAACCTGAAACAGTGGGGACCAAGCTTCTCACACATGAGCTTGTGTGGAGGACAGGCCATATCCAAACCACCTCACAGAGCAGAGGGGACTTCTGTCTTTCCTTTTTACCCTTCAGCTCCTCAGGAAGGGATCTCCTATTATTGAACTCAATAGAAACAGGTAGAGACTGCCCAGAAAAAGGGAGAAATCCTGGAAATGGATCGGCTGGGTCTTAACCCTGTGATTTCGGTCTTCCTTCTCACCCAGCAAAAGCTCAGGATACAAGGCAAGGATATGCCTACAGGCTCTCCAGAGAGGAGGGGAACATGCCACAGAACTGAGGATTCTTCCCTTTTCCCTTGTAGATGTTGGATCAGCCTTTTCATGGGCTACTCCGTCTGGGAAAGTCCACAGGGAAACCAAGTGTATGGCTAAACTAGGAGCCGTTTGTGTCCCAGGACTCTCGTCCATGCCCTTTCTCTTGAGCAGTAAATTACTCTCTGGCATTGAAAAACATGCTTTGGTGACATGTTCCTGATGGCCATGGGAGGAACAGAGTCTGGATGTCTGAGTGTGGAAGTCATGTCTCCAAGCTCAGGCTGACCCACCTGATGCCAAGTTAGTGTGAAGGATGTCACTGACTGTGGCCCTCAGGGTGTCCAGAAAAAGGATCCCATGACTCACGCTGGGTTCCAGGGCGTACAACCATGTCTCCCCAGATGGAGTTGGTGCACTCCTGACCAGCTGCTGAGGAAACTGCTGCTCCTATGAACCCATGTGACAGTGATTGGACACTGTGTCCCTTAGTGGCTCTTGCTCTGTTCACAAAGAAACTGCATTGCTCAAAGGTCCACCCTCCTTCAGGACGCAGCTGATGCAGAGGTCAAATGTCCCACCTCACTTTTCTCAAAAGGAAACCACCTTGGCTTTCCAGCCACATGAAGTGGTGATGAACTGAGTCGCTTTCATCAACTCTGCTTGTCTTACTTCCTTCTGGGTGCACCTGCCAAGGCCCTCCAAGCTTTCCCGTGTAATTCTCCATCATAGGGCCCATTTCCAGGACACTTAAGCTAGGTGACCTTCTCTTTGTGGATGCTGGTTGGTCCTCTAGCTTAGCTTCTCTGGGTGTGGCATTAATATCATCCAAGAAAAGTGATGTGACTTGTATAGTTAAAAGGGAAATAAATCTTGTTGGATATAGGCCTCTGACACATATTCGACCTTATGGCCACAAAGTGCTTCTAAGGGAGGGTTAGGGAGAGCCAGCAGCACCAGAAGCACCAAAACTCTGCAGCTCTAGAAACTTCCACAGGAAGTAAACTCAAAGGCAGGTTGGCAATGTGTTCCAAATAGCACGAATATGTGGCATGCCAAGGGGACCCGCTGGGGAGGAGATGGCTGTGAGATTAGCAGATATATTAGGAAAAGCTGGAAACAAAACAAAAAAAACAAAACAAAACAAACAAACAAAAAACTAGGAGGCAAAGGGGACTTTAAAGATGGGAGACTTCAGTTTAATTTTCTGGATTAGTTACTTTTAAATGACTTACTTAAAAAGAAAGAGGACATCTGTTAATTTGCGGCAAGAGGCTTTGTAATTGGAGAGCTAATGGCCTTCTATGGGATGGGAGGGTGGCTATAGATGATTTGTGCCTGCTACAAGAAGCCCCACCTGTGTGTATAATGTACTTAAAGGATTAGGGCACACTTTGAAAGTATGATGTGTTTTACCTGAAGTAGTTGTCTTCCCCCTTAAGCTTTTATTTCCTTGAAGGAAGGAGGAGACCACCAGCTCTCACAGGCCCAGGAGGTACTTTGTAAGGCTTCAGGAAGGTTTAAATGCAGGGGGGTGGGGTGTGCTCTTTCCACGTTTTAGTGAAGTAGTGAAACTTACCTTCGCCACTTGCAACCCATTTCAGAGGAGACTGGGGCATTCTGGGTGGGATGGCTGCAGACTTGTGATTCTGTTTCCCAGGCATTGCTTACCAGAGTTTTACGGGACTTGGAACACAGGTGACAAATTTAGGAGAGGGCCAGGGAAGACAAGAAAAGGGACTTTTTGAAAACTGTGATCACCCTGTTCTCCCAGAGTCACTAAGTAGTGAAAAGTCTTTATTTACACACAAAGTGTCCCAAGACTTATTATTTTTGTTTTTGAGGTCCTTTTGTTTGTGAGACAGGGTCTCATATAGTAGGTTGATCTCAAACTCAACTATGTAGCAAAAAAAAAAGGCTTTGAACCTGTGATCTTCCTGCCTCCACCTTCTGAGTGCTGGGATTACAGATGCAGGTGGTCACCCAGCACAGGTGGAAACATCTTTTCTCCCTTCTTGATTTACCAGGAAGGAAGGAGAGACCACTGCTAAAAGAAAGGCCCTCATTGGCTGTGTGCTGCTTTGATGGCCCGTGGGTTTGTCAGGCCAGCCCAGCCACACTATTTGTAAGAATCTAAAAACCACACACAGGTGTTTAATAAAGACACGGAAGCTTTATTTTTAAAAAGTCATGTGTTGCAAAAAATACATAGAAAAATAATAAAGTTTGATTAGAGTGCTTTACCAAACTTCAAGTCACAAACTTTCATGTCACAGGTCGGAGTGGGGTTTGCTGACTTATGAAACAGGATAGAGATCGGTCATCCCGCTGATATGGTCCAAGGCACCATCCCATTACCATGGTCCAGACAACAGATTCCATTTCAAATATTCTCCACCAGTTCAGGTGTGGGTGAATGACTAGTTCCAGTGGTGAGAAAGCAAAATGGAGTCAAAACAATTTTAAACACAGCCTTCCCTTCCTTTCTCTTTTGCCACACACTGTGCACTGCAGTAGTTTAATCCCAGGGAAGGTGCATTCCGAAAAGGATTCAATTCAGAATGACAGAGAAAGCCAGCACTAACTGATGATTTTAAGAAGACAGATTAAAAGGAGAAGTGAAATGGACTCCTCTGCCTTTTGTGTGATCCATCTCTGCCACAGTGGTCAGCAGCAGCAAGAGGCAGCAAACAGTACTTTAACATGGGGCCTGGGCTGTAAAAAACAAAACAAAACAAAACAAAACATGCTCAAGCAGCCAAATTTCTATCAACTCCCTTTGGCAGTTTTGCCACCACCAGTAAATTGGCCCATTTAAAAGGAGGAAATTAAAAGATGTCTCAGGGCACAGAATTGAGTGGTAGGATAAAGGGATTTCCTGGCCCCAGAAAGCTTCGTTTGTAATAGTTGTGCCCTACCTCCCATATCTCCCATTTATCTGGTTACCTGAGGTAACAGGATGGAAAGGGAAGGGCAATCTACACAGTTCTCCAAAGCATTTACACAGTTTACCTGGATGGAAGCTGCAATGATGGGCATTTTGAAAACAGTTTCTCTTTCCTTAGAACATTTTTCTGCAACGCTACCAGCCCCTTACTGCTTGGCCTGGGCTGACAGCCATGCCCTCCCTATCCAGGACCGGTCCATCTCTCCTAGACCCCTCAGCAGTACCAGCCCTTTATTTTGTACTGTTTTTCCTTCTGCATGAGAGCTGGACAACACTAAATCTCCTCTGCCTACGGGGATCCCCAGGACCCCAGGGCTGTGAGCCTTTGAACTGTAACACCAAGCCCACAGCAAAAAGCCCAGTGAAAGCTGCTGGGAGCCGCGATCTTCAACTCTCCTGTCTTTAAAAAGAACTTGATGTTGAGAATTTTTAAAGGAAAGAAACAAGAGTTGCTAGGGCTTTTTTTTTTCTTAAAATTATGTCTTTTGATCAATTTATAATTTGTATGTCTTTTTAAAGATATACTTTAAAACTTGAGATAAAGATAAAACTTGAGAGTGGAGGAGCAGATCTTCAGCTAAATAAGACAGCATGCATAGACTAAAAGCCTGAGCTGAGATGTCCTATAGGAGAGAGAACAGAAAGGAAGATCCTTTGTTATAAAATGACAGCACCTCTGTCAGGGTGAACTCAGACCCGAGAACTCCCCACTCTCAGCTCTCGGTGAAGGCAGGAAGGGTGGGCAGAGCCCTTTTCTTCAGTCAAGACTGAGGTGCTCACCTGGAGTGTGGAAACCCCCCAGGCCCTTGCCTTGGACAGGAAGAGCCTGTTTCAAGGCCCACCCTGGCAGGCAAACTGTTTACACAGCTTGTCTTAAACCCCTCACTGTGTGCACCCTGCACCACTCAGGCTGCCCTGTAAATCCTTGAGTTTTTGTGCACTACCACAAAAAGGGTAAGAGGTTAAACATCCGTGCCCCGTGCCAACCTGCCTCAGTCGCTAAGGTCTGTGCTTTTTTTTCCTTTTTCTTCAAATCTTCCATTTACCCTCACTTTTACAAAGGCAGAGAGAAACCCTGGCCATTGTTCAAGGCCAACAAGAGAGTTTTTAACTCAGGTTTAATTCAAGAGGACATCCTCAGCTAAGGGGTCCTTCTTCCCTTTGTTTTGGCCTTTTTGTGATACTCAGTTATGGGAGAGGATGGAGTTGCAGCAACAGAATTCTTAGGAACGATGTAGCCATTGCACCCAAAGTCACCCTGAGGTCTAGAAACATGAACTCGTCTGGCCCTCTCCAGACAGGGAGCAGAGAGCAGTGACCTACAGAACACTTGGAACTGTGGCTAGACACTAAAAATAGCCACTGCCCCAGATCTTTCACTGACCCACCAGAGAAGAACTGGAACATTCCCTGGGAACCCCAACCATTTGGGTCTGCACACGTTTTGCTCCCATCCGCTTGCACAGCCATTCCAGCTTTTCCCCCAGAGACTCCCGGGGAACGCAGTTTCTGGTCTATGAAGTTGTCATCTGAACTGCTGTTACCAGAAAGTTGGACGCCAGCTGCCCAGACAATAGAGGTACGGGTAATAGGGGTAGCTGGTGTACATGGAGACCAATGAGGTGCTGGATAGGCTGTCTTCTTTCAGGGCTGGTAAAGACAAAGGTGAGCTCTTCTCCAAGACTCCCAGATCTTCTGCCAGTTGCTTTCGCTTAGTCTTATAGCGTCTATTCTGGAACCATATCTTCACTTGGGTTTCGGTGAGTTTGAGGTTCTTGGCCAAATGAGCCCTTTCAGGGGCAGACAGGTACTTTTGATGGCTGAACTTCTTCTCCAACTCGATCACCTGAGTGTGAGAGAAAGCTGCCCTGGAACGCTTCTGGGTCGGCTTGGGGACCTGGGGGGTGCTCGGTAAGTCGCCTGGAGTATGTTCACAGTCCAACAGATAAGTCTCAAAATGCCCATCTGGAGAAGAGCAGAGGGGGAGGGAGAAGGAAAAAAGTTACATGTTAGCCCAGAATTCAAAGCACCTTTCTGCTTTTGGCCAGCGAACAAACAGAACAAACAGCTACTATCATCTTGGATACATTTCATTTTTTTTCCCCCGCCTGACTACCAAACTACCACAAAGGAGAAATGAGTAGGTTTTTATATTACGTATGCATTTCTAATAATCTGTGTAAACTAAGCTTAGTGCTTAGTTTTTACAGTTAAACTTTCTGCCATGTTGTCTTATGTCAATATAACTGGGAATCTGGATGTGTGTAGCAAAGGGGTGGGAGGCACCAACAGGGAAACTGAGGCATCACGGCGGGGGGGGGGCAGTTAAGTGGGTGACTAGGGCTTGTGGGGATGAACCTGGTGGCCTGGGCTGGTGGCCAGTTCATCTTCTGCCCCAATCAATCCCTTTTCTGTAACTGCTGTTTAGTTACCTGCATGAACAGTGAACGGGGCAGGGCAGTGGGTGGTGGTGGCAAAAGCCGACTGAATGCTATTCTAAAGACCTAAAGAAACATCCATACTTTTGTAGCTCATGGAATGGAAACTTAAAGGGAGCCTGGGGATTGGCTTGATTTATGAATACTAGTGGTTTATTATTATTATTATTTGTTGTTGTTGTTTATCGTTTAGTTCTAGTCGCCAGCGGTAACTAGCTGGAGTCGCTGGAAAAGAGTCAAGAAGATGGCAAAGTTGTTAGAGTTGTTAGCAGCCTTCAAGGTTGATGCTCAAGGTGCCGAGGACGGTGAAGTCCTTCCGGTGGCCAAGGGCTCCGCATGCCTGCACACAGAGCTGGGGGCCACCAGCCTGGGAGTAGTCCTTTCCAGTGTATCGCGCCCACTTCCAAGTCTATTCCGCTTACCTGTCTCGGGTTCAGCCGGCGCCTCTGCAGGACTGGGTTGGATATTTGGCGGGTCCCCTAGAGCCACGCCGCGACCTCCTGCTTCCTCCGGCTCTGGCGCAGAGTCACTCCTCGGGTCGGACTGGCGCTGGTGCTGCGAGCTGCCTGCGTGTCCCCCGCACCGCTCCGCGCGGTCACGCAGGATGTCCTGGATGAGGAAGGAGGTGAGCCGCTTGGACTGAGAGGGTGGCGCTGCCCAGGGACTGTGGCCACCCGCCTCCACCCGCGCCTCTCGGGGCTCTGCCGCCCTGAGCATCCCGCCTCCGCTGCGCGCCGGCTTTTGCGGTCCTCCGGCCGCGCGCACTTATAGCCGTGCGGAGCGCCGCGCCGCCCGCCCATTGGCCGCGGGGACACGGCTGCTCCCGGATTGGTTGCCGCGGGCTCCAGGTGGCTGTGAACAGGCCAGTCCGGCCTCTGGTTGGTTCCAGAGTCATTTCTTGATGTGCACTTAGCCTTCTCTGGTTCCCCTCTCACCAAAGGTTTCTGTAGGCTTGCCACAAACCCCAATCGCAATGTGTAAAACCTGAGTGTAACTCTCAGAAACTGTCAAAGCGTCCTGGTCCACGGAGCTGAACAGGCAGGTTTCTACCACCTACCCTAATTGTGAAAGTAAATTGACGGCAGAGCCAAATCTACTGAATTTAACACTATTCTAGGCCTGGCAGCCAGGCACGCTGGCCCCACGCTGGATTCTCAGCTGGACACATCTGAACAACCAGCAAAAATCTCAAAGGGAAGGCCAAAGTAGTATGGCAGTGTTACATTTAAGGAGTCGAGCTCGTACTGTGACCCCCAGAGAAGAATATTCTTAAGAAGTAAACACTCAAGCTGGGTGTGGGCAGTGCATGCCTTTAAACCCAGGGAAGGGAGGCAGAGACAGGCATATCTCTGTGAGTCCAAGCCCAGCCTGGTTTATATAGGGAGTTAACAGGCCAGCCAGGGCTACATAATGAGACCCTGTCTTAAACAACAGTGTCAACAACAACAGCGCGCACACACACACACACACACACACACACCAATAAACAAAACCCCACTCCCCAAAAAACTGAAAAAAGAAATGAGCATGGAAGCACAGACTCCCTATGTATGTCACTTATAGCAAGTACTATAAAAGGAATGAGCTAAAATAGTAACATTCAGTGAAAATTAGGAAAGCCTATGCTGGTGTTCTTTATGCAGCTTGTGTCTGCAGTGGTCTAAGGCATCTTCCACTCAGCTCTTCAGAACCATTGTATGTCTGGGGAGGGGAGAAAGGGAACAGGTCATGGAGAATTCAGCAAGTGCTGAAGGACACTGAGAAGGGTAACCAAAAGGCCTTCAGAAACACTGGCTTTCCTCTTGGACTTTACCTGGATGTGTTATCCTTTAAAAATGTAAAAATGTAATTGGAAATTGCAAAAATGACAACTGCAATGTCCCTTGTGGTAGCATCTTTTTATTTTACTTATTGAGTGTGTATGTGTTCTGTGAATAAATTCCCTCTCCCTCCCAGGCCCTGTTCCCCAGGGTTGTACTTTGGGGAGGGGCTTTAACTCTTTAAGGTCTGGAGTCAAATGAGAGGCCCTCAGGTCATGGGAGACATAAGGAGTTTAGGACCAGGCTGTACTCCCCAGTGACCCCAGTGTATGACCTCTCCTGTCAACCCATGCTCCTGTCATGTGTGCTGCCTCCATCTGAGGCCCCCAGGTCTTGGACTTGAACCTCTAGACTCATAAACTAAAGCAACCATCTATTCACCTAACTAGTCTGCCTTTGGTATTTGATCGTAAGGGACAGAAACCTAATGCAGGAAGTCTCACTTCTCTGCCGGGGAGTGCAGTTGCTGTGTCATGAGGTGAATGGTATGATGGTTCCTTTGGATCACCCACCTGACCAGGGCATCATCGAGGCTCACCTTTGGGTGTGCCTGTGAGGGTGTTTGCAGAGGGGTTTAACTGGGGTGAGGAGGGGCAGATATTTACCCTGAATGTGTGTAGTTCCATTTCTGCAGGTTAAGACAGAATTTAAAAGGGGCGGGGGAGGAGCCAGTTGTGTCTCCTGGATGACTGAGCAGTGGACAAATAGCTCCTCCCACTATGTCAGACTATCTCCTCAAACCATGAACTGAAGGAAATCTTTTCCCTCTAAGTCACCTCTGGTGGATATTTGGTCACAGTGGTCAGACAGAAATGGCTGACACAGGAGGTTCAGCTCTCACAGGGTCTGCACCACTCACTGTCTCCGCAAGCAACGAGGGTCAGTTTCTCTGCATCCTCATTAGCATTTGTTGTCACTGTTTTTATGTCAGCTGTTAACACATGTCCAGTGTTGTATTTCAGCTTTAGCTTTGTATTTGTACTTGATGGCTGATGATGTTGACATCAGCCAGACACTGATGAGACAGTATAAAGTTCTGGTCACCAAACATCAAGATGTAAACACAAGCAGGCACATGGGGACTTTAAAAAATTATGTTCATTAAAGAAACATATCTGCCAGGTGGTGGCAGCACATGCCTTTAATCCCAGCATTTGGGAGGCAGAGGCAGGTGGATCTCTGTGAGTTTGAGACCAGCCTGGTCTACAAGAGCTAGTTTCAGGACAGGCAAAAGCTACACAGAGAAGCCCGACACACACACACACACAGACACAGACAGACAGACAGACAGACAGACACACACACACACACACACACACAGAGAGAGAGAGAGAGAGAAAGAGAGAGAGAGAGAGAGAGAGAGAGAGAGAGAGAGAGAGAGAGAGAAGTAAATCAAGGGCTGGAGAGATTGTAATTAAGAGTACTTACTGCTCTTGCAGAGGACTGGAGTTCAATTCCCGACACATGTCAGGCAGTTGTAAATTGCCTGTAACAGCAGCCTCAGGGGAATCGAAGCCTCTGACCTCTTCAGGCACCTGCATGCACTTACACACAGATATGCAAATATACACATCATTTTTTAAAGTAAAAATCTTAAAAAAAAAAAAGACATGCATATCTAATCCTCATTGATACACTCCTTTCTGCCCATCAGACTGGGAAAGCTTTTGTTGTTAAAGTGCCATCCGGACTGTGAAGAACTGTTGTGGGCAGAGATAAACTTATTTGCATATTTGGATGGCATTTTGACAGTATCTCTTTACACTATAAATGAACATATCCTTCAACACAGCTTGTTCAGCTTCTGCTCTGGAAACTAATAAATACACAAAGTCCTGACTTGGGAACCTGTTTTTTAGTCTGGTCACAGAGACTCAATTGTGTTTATAAAAAAAAAGTAGCTACAAGTGATCCATATAATTTACAACCAGATGTAGATAACGAGCATATATTTATTCAGTAGGACAGTTGTGCCTGCTCGTGATGTGGAGGCAGGCTGAGAGAAGAAAGGGAGGGAGAGAGGAACAGGGTCTCTGTCTTTGTACTCATTTATAGTTCTTGAAAATTACAACGCTGCTGTTGGAGAGATGGCTCAGTCAAGAGTGCTTGCTGGGCCTATGCTCAGTTCCCAGGACTCACAGTAGATGTCTTTACACCTGTCTGTAGTCCAGTTCCTGAGAACCTGATACATACTTCCGGATCTGGCTCACACAAACAGAGGGGAGAGATAGGTAGGTTGGTAGGTAGGTAGGTAGGTAGGTAGATAGATGGAGAGAGAGAGGGAGAGAGAGAGAGAGAGAGAGAGAGAGAGAGAGAGAGAGAGAGAGAATGTTTAAGAATTACAAACCTTGAAAATCTTGAGGCTATAGCGATGGCTCAATGGTTAAGACTGCTCATACCTCTTCCAGAAGACCTAAGTTTGGTCCCCATCACCCACACTGGATGCTTTACAACCATCTGTAACTCTGTCTACAGCATATACTTACACCTGTAAATAAAAAGTAAAAAGAAACCTTTTTATGGAATGTAAATTTAAAACTTAGGGGTGGAGTTGAAGTGAGCTCTCCTCCTATGCCATGATCTCCCTGGGGTTCAGATGCCCTCATTGTGGGGACCCAGTTCAAAGCACTTGTTCATCATGCCATTTCCTTCCCTTCATGCTTTGTCCTTGGGTTCTATAGGTAGCTCATCTCATTCAGTAGATATATGCTCACTGAGAAGAAACTGGCTCTTCTTACTTGTATCATCACTAACATCTAGCTTGGTTCTTGGCATACAACACACATTTTTAATAAAGGCTTACTATCTGAATATCTGACATCTGCTACCACCAAGCATTGTCTCACCGGCTGGTAGAATTCTCCGTTGTGTCCCAAGGCAAACTACAGGAAGCTAAGCTGGCTTCATCTCATTGTAATTGGGCAGCTTAAATTGAGTGGGAATGACCAAGGGCAACAAAGAAGCCACGAGAGACTATAAGAGGCAGAATAATGGGCAACCACAGATGTCCTTCTACAGGCCCCTTAATCTGTGGGTGTTCCATGCAGATGACAATAGCCTGGCTACAGGTGGCATTAAAGTTGGTAGTGAGCTAGCCCTGAAGTGGAACAGTTGTTCAGGAATGTAAGACGAAGTAGGAAGGGCAGGCAGTCAGAGGAAAATACAGGGCATCTGAAACAAGAGTAGAGCAATGGGATGTGAGAGAGTCTACTGGCCATCGACTTGATGGTGAAGAAGGCCATTGGTCAAGGAATATAGTAGCCACTAGAAGCTGAAGAAATGGCCTGTGGCCTGCAGAGATCCAGCTGGGACTTCCGATTTCTCAGAAAATCTATCTGTGCTGTTTATTGGATTGATACAATCTTTGGGTTCTTTTTCTTTCTTTTTACTTTCTTTTTTTAAGTTGAAGCATATATTTAGATGCACAGTGCTAGCCTTTCATTGGAACTGCCTTTATTTGTTCTCTTTCAGCCTTTAGCCATGCTTAATCTGTGAATCTTCTAAATGTTTTAGAAATTATCTCATTAGATGTTACAGTTAGAAGGCACACTGGAACCATCAACTTGTGTTCCTATGACAAAACTTCTGGTTTGAAGAGTTTACAAAGTATAACCAGGCATGGAGTCTCATGAAGCCCCAGCTCAATGCTCTCCCCTGCCTGCATTATGCCCCCCCTTCCATCCATCCCCAACAGCATCCCGTTCCACCCTCCCCTGAAGGTGGCACACACAGAGCTGACAGAATTGTCCTGTGCACGTGATCATTTTTATGAAGTGTAGGAAGACACACAGCCACATAAATGACTGTTACCAGGAAAAGCATTTGCATACTCAGATCCTTAAGGCCCAGAAAACAGCACCATGGAAGAGGTACCAGAGCTGGGCAAGAGGCAGACTGGGTGCAGAGA